GGCAGGGGGGTTCCGACACTACCGGCCGGAAACCGTTGGCGGCGCAAGCCAAAAAAAGGCCCGCGCCGATTCGTTTTTTTTTGCTGCACAGGTCCATTTTAGGGTCGGCASCCATAGCTGACAAAGGTACTGGCGGTTCAAATCTTTGTACACACAAAATACTTGACAATGTTGTGTTCACCGTTCAACTCGGTAGAASTCTATCCTCAGCACCCCATTTTAGGCATAGAAGGCATAGAAAACAATCCAAAAGTTTATGGAGAAAAAAGTAATACAATAAATACTTGAAGAAAACTTTTGCAAGCTTAGGGACAAAGGGCTAAACAACCACTACCTTTCGCAGATGTAGTCCCATTTGGGAAAATAACCTCATCAAAAAAAATGGCCAGGGGGAGGCCGCTGATATTTCTCATGTGAAGGGACCGGCCTCTGAAACGACTGGGACCCACCCTGCAGGCGACATACGACTCAGAGAAGGTAGTGGCCATTTAAATAGATACGAAATTAAATATCCAAAAACATTATATATATACATACTCGGTATAAGGGCACACTCACACTAGGCCCTCAAAATCACAAAATCCCAAAATTAGTGGCCAGATCTAATCCTTCCCTTACAAGGACTCGATATGGCCGCTCCTATTACTAGGTCCCTTTCGGGTTAGGCAGGTACTATGGGTCCTCTGACTTCCAATAGGTACATCAAACAAACCAGTTGGATCTCGTCGGTATCACCTATAGGCTTTAACGTTGTAAGTTGTTGTTTAGTCACCTGTCCCCCAATCAATATCAATAGATGGGTAATCAACTCCCATTCGGTCAGTATCCGCCGATTTGGACCTTACCACTTAGTTTCAATGGCAGGAGAAGCACCCACCGCTGGATCTGTTATCTTAGCGGGAATTCTCTTAAAATTGGGAACTTATGGTTGGTTAAAGGATTATTGATCATCCCACAATACGCTCTAATGGTGGATAATCATATCTTTTTGAAGTGCTCAAAATCACTCCATAGATAAGTAATAAGATAGTGGCATTTATAAGAAAGATTTCTAGAAAGATGGCTAAGAAATCATCGTCAACATACCAAACATATCCCATACTTCTCGTTCCCACCAACCAGCTGCTGGAAATATTTTGACTACTGAACAGATGGGAGTTATTTCATCTACACGTGTATGTACACGAAGACGTGAGTTATACTGAATACTCGGTAAGTTATACACCACTTCAAATCTATCTTTTCGAGAAGGATAATCAACTCCACAAATATCGATTGAAACTCGAAATCTTGTGTTCGTATGATTTAAAAAAAAAAAGCATTTTGTGGTTTTACAAGTTTGAGGGCACAGTGTCAGTATAACATGTTATTCGTTAAAATAGGACATTATACTGTGTCCTCTTTTCAACGAATTCATTTGTGGCTGCAGCCTAAGCAACGTAGGCATGCCCATCCTGTGCGGAAGTGTGTTGGGATCCTCACTTGTTGAACTTCAAAAACGCGCTGGTGATCCTGCGGGGAAGTGTCTTGGGATCCATACTACTCAAACTTCATTAACGAATAATGATAGGCACGCCACACAGGGAACCCTGTACGGAAGTGTGCCGGGATCCTTACTTGTCAAACTTCAATTTCATAAATGTGATGAAATATATTATATTGTGATACTGTCCTCTTTCTTACGAATTCGTTTTTTACTGCAGTGTTTCCACATAGGCGTACCCATCAACTCGGCCCAAATGCGAAAGTTTGCTGACATCCATAGTTGTTGAACTTAATCAGAAAAATTAGCAATGTAATCAAATTGAATTGGAGAGACTCAGTATAATTCTTTCGGTTATCCCAAAGTTACACATGCAGGTTCATCGTCTTGCTGAAGACGGTTGTTTAGATGTATGATGAGATCTTGATTTGTTTAGAAGACTTGTGACCCTGACAATGGGCGGGAGTGTGTCGAGATCCAAACTTGTTAAACTCAAAGCTTACGCATGTGATGAGCAAGGTGTCATGATCGAACCGTTGTTGGTGAACACATCAAATTTTCGTTTACCAGGTTATCCCTAAGTTATGGAAGCACACCCATCATCTCATTGTTTGGATGTTGAAGAGATCTGACTTCCGCATAAAGGCACGGTCATCATCTCGCCCGACATGAGGGCACTGAGGAACATACTTATTTACATTTCTGATGGGCAAGGTGTATTTCAATAACCACTTTATTTCGATATTCAATGCACAAGTGTACAACTTAAAATTATGCTCATTCACGATGAATATCCGCACTTTAAATGGTAATGCAAAGAAGGTTTGGGCATCCACTGACCAATTTCACATAAAATGACATTTCTCATGCATCCACCAATCAGTTTCACAATCATGTTTACACTTCCAGTTGGACAGAATTTGAAACATGGAACAAAATACTTGTAGTTGAACAAAATTTGAAACATGGAACATAACGTATGACATGTTCCGCTGCATGAGAAACGACTGCGACGTGACAGAGATCACAAAGCCCATACATGACGCAGGACATGCAATGAGCTTACCGTAGACAACCCAAACTCGGAAAGACAAAAGAAAGCAATGTCTTTGGCAGAAGGACAGTTGAATAATGTCTCGATTTATAAAATTCAATGAACAACGAATGAAACACCTTAAGAAAAGAGTTTCCAAGTCAATCAAATCTTTCAAAAACAACGATGTTCTAAGACAGATGATATTAATTGTCG